CGTCTATTACGTATGATATTAAAAATTGACATTTGATTTATTTGAATCGGTAAACTAAACAACCCTATTTTGCCATTGCTAAAAGAATCTGAAATTTTTCTTAGGTACATTGTAAATAGGTACATACAGTTTGAGCACACAGAAAATGCTTATATTTATTTCTTATGCAACAATGAAGTTCTGTTTGTATTCTCAAAACAGTTTCGACCCATAAGTTTTCACATGCAATTAAAACATATGCAATTGTACTCCCTCGTTGTAACCAATGAATGGTTTATTCTCATGAAGATCACGCAATAGTGACAGAGAAAAATACAAATGTACAGATTTGTTTCATGGGAGCATACGTCGTCCGGTTTTCACATAGTTGCTTAATTTGAACAATAGTGCTTTATGTGTACAAGACATAAGGGATATAAATTTATCTAATGATGGATAATTACAATAATAGTTTGGTAGGAATGAATTTCTTACATTACTTAAACATGGACAATATAACATGAAGTGAAGTTCATCTCCTATTGTGTTCTTACACAATGTACATAATCTTTCTTCTTTAATAATATTATACCATCTACCTGTTTCTATTGAAGGTTTATGGTTACAAGTTATAATATAGGTAAGCCAAATGCGTACATTTAATGGGAGGTGTAATAGATAACTTTCAAGGTAACCCGTGTTAGGTGGTATAAACCTACACATGTTATTTGTCGTCATTCACTTGATGGTCAGTTAATGAATTTATAACAGGTATAATTAGTGGTAACACCACTTAGATTACCCGACAAAGGTTCCCATTTGGCATTTCTTTTGTCTGGAGTAAATATTCAACATTATAAACATCGATCAAAGGATTAACTGATAACACGCTGATTGATTAATTACTTTTGTCTTACACAGCGGATTTGTCAAAATGTAGTGTTTATGTATGTAGATTTACTAATCTATTCTGAATACACTCTTTCGTGTCTGTGTCTACGTAAAAACAACGTCCTCCCTTCAAAGGATTAACCGCCAATACAGTGATTGATTGCTCATTATTGGCTAACTAAATTACCATTTATAAAGAATGGCGGACATTATGCAATCAGTTGCCAGGTGTGCTATCCTGGGTGACCAATGAGACTATACACCAATGTGACATACCTGAAACTAGTGAAACGATATATCACTTTTTCCTATACTAGACTGTTAAAAGACACATTACTTGGAACAGCTGCAGATGAATGGCATATCACTTGTTTTTGTGGATATTAATGGATACATTCCTCGAACAAGGTAATAGCCTGACATTGTTCCTATAAATTTAATCTGTTTTAATTTTAATATTTGCATTTTGTTTTTATTCATTTGTCGTAGCATTCAACAGAATCGTTGTTTTCGCCGTGAAGGGTAATGAGACATACACTAGGGCGTGTGTGCAAATTATGATTCACATTGGCAAACTATAAACTGTCTAGATATTACAGTCCTGTTATAAATGCACTATAAGTATCAGCAGATCGTCTGCTTTTCATTTAGTTTCAAAATGCATACAAGTATGATAATAAACTAATTAGGATTATAAGACCAAATATAAAGACGCATGGACTAGTATCTACATACTGGTGAGTGCACGCTAACCACGTGAATGTAGCAAGAAATTTATCGGCGCAGTATTGTCACTTCGACCCCCACCTCGCTTCCGTGGAAGAAATCGTTATGTTATAAGTTGTGTCATGCAAAATGCTTTTGGTTATGATTCAAATACATATTTAACTACGAGTAGAAAGTAGTTTTGATTTTCTAACTTGATGAAAACAAACCATAATCTCATTAATTTTAACAGACTTTATCCCGTGAGTTTACGATTTTCAAAATTGGCGGCGCCCTGTCGCGAACATCCACCAGTCTGAGTATAAATGCTATTTAGGTTTGTTTTCACCGAGTTACAAAATCAAAACTACTTTCTACTGGTAGTAAAATATGTATTTGATTGATGTCCAATAGGATTTTGCATGACATAGCGTATAACATAACAATTTCTCTCGTGGAAGCGAGGTGGCTGTCAATATAATACTACTTACAGTATTATTGTTACCTCGACCACAACCTCGCTTCTGAGGCAGAAATCGTTATGTTACAAGTTGTGTCATGGAAAATCTTTATGGTCATCAATCATATACATATTTGACTACGACTAGTAAGTAGTTTTGATTCTTTAACTTCCGTGAAGCGATCCACAACGCTCGCTTCACACTCACAAACATAACCCATTTTTGCACGAACTGCGGGGTCCTGTGGAAATCTGTGCATGGCGACACCATCGCCCGACCTCTAGGAGCAATTGACGACAACGCAACTGATTTGGCATGTCTTCGTTGATGTCGAGAAATCATCAAAATGACGAGCTTGCTACATGCTTTCTATACAACTAACTGAAAATCCTTCCTCATATGACGTCACTGCAGTGCTCTGGTACTAATTAACCACAAGTTTTTAAAGAATGAAATTGGTGTTCCGCATAAGACTGATCACAAATCTTTCATATGTAAAAGTTAAGAGAGTAAAAAAAACCAAAGTTTATTTGTTCTTTAAACTCGAGTTGTTCAGAAACAAACAATCGCAGTCAACGAAATTGTCACGTGACCACACAGATAGAGACATGATGCTGAAATGACACAAAAGTTTGACAACATGTGTTTGACGTGTGAAAACATGAGTTTGACAACTTTTAAAATTTCAACAGCATGTGTTGTCAAACTTTAGTTTGCCATGTGAAGGCGGCTTTAGACCTTGCTTGACTCACGGAAAGCTGAGAGTCATCACACTCGTTGAAAGAAGTACTTTGCTCAATATTATTTTGATAATGTTGGGTGAGTAATAAATAAAATCCTGTGTAATGCCATGTTTATTGAAACTTGTGAATGGTATTGGTTAGTGATGTTCAGATGATCGAAAATAATCGAAAATTGATCAAAAGAAGGATTAAAAATGATTATCGATTGTAAAAAACATATTTTCGATTAATCGGAATTTGGTTGTTTTGGTATAACACCCTTGAATGAAGTTAACTAACCATCAATTTGACGAATATTCACGAACAAACATGCTCAACAGCGTAAAGCTGTGCACATTGTAAAATTTTAACCACTTTTATTGTTTAATTACAATTCCAGTGTCTTTCTTGCATGCATGCATTTCATTGCATGACAGCATTAGTTATAAAAAAAACATTAATTAGAAAAAACTGGGGAAAAACGCTTAAATTTGGTGATTACATTAAAAATGTATATATTTTGATTATAATCGATAATTAATCGATACAATCCTCCGATAATCGATAGTGGATTTGGTTTCCGATTCCCAACACTAGTATTGGTATCAAACTCTCTTTCTCTCGTTAGATACCAAACCATTCAATCGTTTTATATATATGGTATTACATGGGACATCGTTTAGTATTCTCTATGAATGCAATAAACATTATGGGCATCAAAGTAAGTGGTCAGTCATCAGTATGTGTTAATGTAGGTCTGAATTGTGTCCTAAGTAAACAATGTACTTATTGATTCTGTGTCTTGGGTATTATCAATTCATTATTTATCTTCTTTCAAAGTTTCATTGAAATATATATGCCTGTACATCTGCCCTCCAGGATATTGCTTCTCTTGTCAATAGTTGTAGTCAACAGTGTTAAAAATGAGTGTTCAGATTTGTCCTAGTACAACATAGGTTAATGGATTTCAAGGGTTAAGTTACAGGGTTGTCTGATAACTCATGTTTGCCACTTTGGCTACCGTTACCTGACGGTTTAACGATGATAAACCTAACCAGGGGCCGAAATAGTACAAAATTTACGAATTATACGAATCAATGTCCTTCCTATGGTATATGACCGAGCGAAAGCGAGGTCAGAAACCATAGGAAGGTTACGAGTTTCGTATAATTTGTATGTAATGAGACCGAGAGTGGTATTTTATTTATTACCCACGTCTTACATGCATTGAATTGACAAAATAGCGTATTTTTGTTATTGTTATGGTTTCAAACCGAAACCGGTTTCATAAAGAGGTTGTGGAAGAATTTTGTTCTCAAGTACACTTTTGCATGACGTCACACTGTATTGACGTCACTACGCCATTCACGTCTGTCCCCTTGGTAACCGACATCACGATGCATGTCAGTTGTCATCGCCTCTCGTACAACCTCCTACAGTAAACTACTCCGTAGCACCCCGTTTCTTGGTTTGCAACTGCTTCACTCCGCTAACATCACTGGTGGAAACATTGCGTTTATATTTTTCGACTGATATAATGTCTCAGTTCGACTTACAATTAAACAGTGACACGGCAACATTCGCAATGTTTACATTCCCACAGTGCATCTAAGTTGTAGAATGAATGAATTCACGTGTTTGTTATGAATGAACAAGTAGTTCCGTCACAACGGACCTAAACTGAGAGGACATCGGTTATCCAATCAAATCGTTAGAATCTCAGGTGAAGTCGTTACGACACAGGTCAACGTGATACGACACTCGTGTGACGTACGAGATTAGTATGCAACTACCCATACGTTGACCACGTGGGTAATAAATAACAGGAAGTCCTGTTTTGGATGATAACAGTTTGTGGGTTAGTTTATGGGTTCAGGACATATGAAGCTGAACTATTCTTGTAGTCATGACAATTTCCAGGAAACCCAGCTGACGAGGTAGCAGGTTTACATGATGTTTATTGATTTTTCAGAAAACATCAATGAACTGAAATGTTGAAACTGTTGTAATGGTTTAAATTTAATGGGATAATCGAAGGATATGGGCACACATATTTTCATCAAGGCACGCATAAATCATCTGTCTAGTGCCCTATGGCACATTTTGCAAAAAATATGCATTTTTATAACAGCTAACTTCTCACTCCTTGAACTGATGGCCATATCCGGTCATCGCAAAAATGACAATGAGGTTTGTTTTGTTGCAGATGAATCAAACTTACGTTATGTGTAATATTTTCCAGAAGGAAACCGTAAGAGGACATACAATCTCATCCTTTGTGTCAAGTGCAGAAAGTCAAGATGGCTGACATTGAAGCACCAAAGATGTCCTTTGTGTCCCGCCTCTCGTATGGAGTGGGTCACGTTTTAAATGACCTGACAGCCTCAATGTGGTTTAGCTACCTACTTATCTACCTCCACCAAGTGAAGAACTTCAACAATAAGTTGGCAGGGGACTTGATGTTGATTGGTCAGGTCAGCGATGCACTTGCCACGCCTTTCATAGGCTATGAATCAGATAGAACAAAAGGAATCTGCAAAATGGGGAAGAGGAAATCCTGGCACTTAGTTGGTGAGCCTTTTGCTTTATACTTTCATAGACACCATACACTTTCAGATTCCCACAATAAGATTCAAACCACAGACCTTCAGATCCGAGGATGTACACAATTTGAGCACCTATGTAGTGGTCATAAAATTTCCTTATCCCATGATGGGATTTGAACCACGGACCTTCTGTTTTGGACGCCTTATCCAGACAGCCAAAGAGGTTAACCTCATCAGAAATCTGACAGTAATTATAGACCCAAATAAAATAATTCAAATGTAGAGCGGTGTCAGGAATCACCTCACTAGCAGCTATTACCATAGAAAACCCAATTTCTGTATATTATTCTCAAATGGCTGATCGCTACGGCTATTTCTGTGTGCATCGCATGTGAGTGAAACTTCCTCTTCCAGCAAAACTCTCGTTTAACTTAGAAAATATGTATACTGACGAAAGTAATGGGCATCACATCTTACATGTAATGAGTATATGGTCAGGTCTGTCAAAAAGGGATATCTTCCTTATAATTATGATGAAAAGAACACAAAACACAATGTCTGTATTTGATATTAGCCATCGAATTGACTTGATATTAGTAGAACAAAACTCTACATACACATATGATGTAGACACTTTTATAAGTTTAAGCCAAGTGAAGCTTACATTGAAGTATGTCCTGTTCTAAAAAACATGATCAGTGTTAGTTTTAACTAAACTTTTGGCATAATCCATTGAAATATGAAATACTTCCATAACAATATTAAAAATAAAGTTAATTAGAATATGATGTAACAGTACATTACTTGATCATCGTTATAATAATTAAAATATTACGACTACTTTCAGAATAGTCTTAGTCCTGTGTGTTGCTGTACTCACGGCTTACTTAAGACTTTAATCTCAAATGTATTGAAGTTAACAGCCTTCCTGTTATTTTATACACTTCTGCTGACATTGTTTTGATAAATTTGACTAGTTGTCGGTTTCTCTGCAGGTACTCTGTGTGTGGCTTGCAGTTTCCCCTTCCTGTTTATTGGATGCATCACCTGTAACCATGCTCCGGACTGGGCCCAGTTTGTATATTTTGTCCCCTTCGTGGTCATCTTCCAGTTTGGGTGGGCATCGACACAAATCTCTCATCTCTCACTCATCCCTGATCTAACACCGAATGAAAGTGAAAGAGTGGGACTGAATGGGTTACGGTAAGTATCTCCAAGGCATGAGCAGGGAAATGGCCTTGAAAGAAAGAAAGAATGTCTCAAACTAAACAAAAGCTATGTTTAGATTACACACTCATGTGTGTGTCTATGTCTCCATGCTAATGCCCTGTGGTATGTGTGTGCCCATCTCTGTCCAATGTCAATGAAGAACTGAACCTGTGGTATGTGTGCCCATCTCTGTTCAATGTTAATAAAGAACTGAAACTGTGGTATGTGTGTGCCCATCTCTGTTCAATGTTAATAAAGAACTGAACCTGTGGTATGTGTGCCCATCTCTGTCCAATGTTAATGAAGAACTGAACCTGTGGTATGTGTGCCCCATCTCTGTCCAATGTCAATGAAGAACTGAACCTGTGGTATGTGTGTGCCCATCTCTGTTCAATGTTAATGAAGAACTGAACCTGTGGTGTGTGTGCCCATCTCTGTCCAATGTTAATGAAGAACTGAACCTGTGGTATGTGTGTGTTCATCTCTGTCCAATGTTAATGAAGAACTGAACCTGTGGTATGTGTGCCCATCTCTGTTCAATGTTAATGAAGAACTGAACCTGTGGTATGTGTGCCCATCTCTGTCCAATGTTAATGAAGAACTGAACCTGTGGTATGTGTGCCCATCTCTGTCCAATGTTAATGAAGAACTGAACCTGTGGTATGTGTGTGCCCATCTCTGTCCAATGTTAATGAAGAACTGAACCTGTGGTATGTGTGCCCATCTCTGTCCAATGTTAATGAAGAACTGAACCTGTGGTATGTGTGCCCATCCTGTCCAATGTTAATGAAGAACTGAACCTGTGGTATGTGTGCCCATGTGCCCATCTCTGTCCAATGTTAATGAAGAACTGAACCTGTGGTATGTGTGCCCATCTCTGTCCAATGTCAATGAAGAACTGAACCTGTGGTATGTGTGCCCATCTCTGTCCAATGTCAATGAAGAACTGAACCTGTGGTATGTGTGTGCCCATCTCTGTCCAGTGTTAATGAAGAACTGAACCTGTGGTATGTGTGTGCCCATCTCTGTCCAATGTTAATGAAGAACTGAACCTGTGGTATGTGTGTGCCCATCTCTGTCCAATGTTAATGAAGAACTGAACCTGTGGTATGTGTGTGCCCATCTCTGTCCAATGTTAATGAAGAACTGAACCTGTGGTATGTGTGCCCATCTCTGTCCAATGTTAATGAAGAACTGAACCTGTGGTATGTGTGCCCATCTCTGTCCAATGTTAATGAAGAACTGAACCTGTGGTATGTGTGTGTGCCCATCTCTGTCCAATGTTAATGAAGAACTGAACCTGTGGTATGTGTGCCCATCTCTGTCAATGTTAATGAACTGAACCTGTGGTATGTGTGCCCATCTCTGTAAAGAACTGAACCTGTGGTATGTGTGTGCCCATCTCTGTCCAATGTTAATGAAGAACTGAACCTGTGGTATGTGTGTGCCCATCTCTGTCCAATGTTAGTAAAGAACTGAACCTGTGGTATGTGTGCCCATCTCTGTCCAATGTTAGTGCCTGTGGTATCTCTGTGTGTGCCCATCTCTGTCCAATGTTAATAAAGAACTGAACCTGTGGTATGTGTGCCCATCTCTGTCCAATGTTAGTAAAGAACTGAACCTGTGGTATGTGTGTGCCCATCTCTGTCCAATGTTAGTAAAGAACTGAACCTGTGGTATGTGTGTGCCCATCTCTGTCCAATGTTAGTAAAGAACTGAACCTGTGGTATGTGTGTGCCCATCTCTGTCCAATGTTAGTAAAGAACTGAACCTGTGGTATGTGTGTGCCCATCTCTGTTCAATGTTAGTAAAGAACTGAACCTGTGGTATGTGTGAACCCATGTGTGTGCTCTCTGTCCAATGTTTAATAAAGAACTGAACCTGTGGTATGTGTGTGCCCATCTCTGTTCAATGTAAAAGAACTGAACCTGTGGTATGTGTGTGCCCATCTCTGTCCAATGTTTAATAAAGAACTGAACCTGTGGTATGTGTGCCCATCCCTGTTCAATGTTAATAAAGAACTGAACCTGTGGTATGTGTGCCCATCTCTGTCCAATGTTTAATAAAGAACTGAACTTGTGGTATGTGTGCCCTGAGTCCCTGTCCAGCGTTAATGAAACACTCCATGTTTCCAGGTATGCCTTCACTGTCTTGTCCAACCTGGCTGTGTTCGGCATCGCCTGGCTGCTGCTGGCTCTCGGCTCCAATTCAGACACAACCCAACTATCAGATAAGGATGCACCAAAATTTCGGGTATGATTTAGAAGTGATAACAAATGCAATATGTGAGTGATTGAGTGAGTTGGCTTTCATGCACTGTTGAACAGTTTTCCACTTATAAGCCATCGATGCAGTTCAACATGGAAAAAAAATATTTATAGCAGCACTGATCTCAGACATTTACCAGACCGCCTCCGTGGTGTAGTGGTTAGAGCATCCGCCCGGAGAGCGGAAGGTCGCAGATTCCATCCCCGACTGCGTCATACGAAAAGACGTTAAAATATGGTACTTGTTGGTCCCTACCTGGCTCTCGGCATTGATGGGTACAACATGATCGTCTCGGAGTCAGTCTAATGTGTCTGAGAGTGGTATTCATGCTTAACTGTGGCCTGGTATCTCAGTGAGCTAGCACTATAAAACCAGCTCAAGTCTGGGCCAGTACAAGCAGCCACACCTACACACGCATGCACGTCGTCATATGAGCGAAATATTCTTAAGCACGACGTTAAACCCCATTTCAACTCACCTCAGAAATTTACCAGTTTTATGAAACCCACAGGCATGGATATAATGGTGACTAGAGAAAAGTAGAATTTGGTAAACTGGCATTAAAAACCATGGTAATAGGTTTAGGACAAGCACATTATTTTGGGGTAAAATTTTACAAAAAATGTGGTTGGGACAGCAAAATATGATACAGTTCTAAGACCAATCTCATCACATTGGCTCCCATCCAAACACTGTGTAAACCATTAGTGACAGGCCATTCAATGAAAGATTTCAGTTTGAAATGGATTCAAAAACATTAATACTTGTACCCAGCTGTTGGATGTTGAACAAAAATCGAGTTATTTCAAGTAGTACCTTGGCTATTGTATTTGCACTGATACAGCTATTTCATGTTAATAAAACTTAAAAAGAACTCTCTCAATGTTTTTATATATTTCTCTGTTGATTTGCTATTTGAAACAGTCACTATGGTATCTGCTGTATGAAACAGTCACTATGGTATCTGCTGTATGAAACAGTCACAATGGTAATTGCTGTATGAAACAGTCACTATGGTATCTGCTGTATGAAACAGTCATTATGGTATCTGCTATATGAAACAGTCACTATGGTATCTGCTCTATGAAACAGTCACTATGGTATCTGCTGTATGAAACAGTCATTATGGTATCTGCTATATGAAACAGTCATGGTATCTGGTATGAAACAGTCACTATGGTATCTGCTGTATGAAACAGTCACTATGGTATCTGCTGTATGAAACAGTCACTATGGTATCTGCTGTATGAAACAGTCATTATGGTATCGAGTATATGAAACAGTCATTATGGTATCGAGTATATGAAACAGTAACTATGGTATCTGCTGTATGAAACAGTCACTATGGTATCTGCTGTATGAAACAGTCACTATGGTATCTGCTCTATGAAACAGTCATTATGGTATCGAGTATATGAAACAGTCACTTTGGTATCTGCTGTATGAAACAGTCATTGTGGTATCTGCTGTGTGAAACAGTCACTATGGTATCGAGCATATGAAACAGTCACTATGGTATCAGGTATATGAAACAGTCACTATGGTATCAGGTATATGAAACAGTCACTATGGTATCTGCTCTATGAAACAGTCACTATGGTATCAGGTATATGAAACAGTCACTATGGTATCTGCTGTATGAAACAGTCATTATGGTATCGAGTATATGAAACAGTCACTATGGTATCAGGTATATGAAACAGTCACTATGGTATCTGCTCTATGAAACAGTCACTATGGTATCTGCTCTATGAAACAGTCACTATGGTATCAGGTATATGAAACAGTCACTATGGTATCTGCTCTATGAAACAGTCATTATGGTATCAGGTATATGAAACAGCCACATGGTATCAGGTATATGCAACAGTCACTATGGTATCTGCCCTTTAAAACAGATACTGTTGTACCGTGCTGACAAATCAGGGTACAGCATTGTGTGATTCTGTGATTCGAACCTCTGCTCTTGCATACCTTAGGCATAGCACACTTAAAAGAAGAATTATAAGGCCAGACCAATTTTATTTATTGTTTTACGGATTTTTGTCCTTAGAAAACCTAAAGGCAAGAGGGAAAAAATTAAAAATTAAAAAAGTAATAATCCTTTTAAATGCTAAAACTATTTTACTTTGGGCAGTTTATGGAGTGTATATGGGGCAAAAACAATCAATAAAAAAAATTCTTGTAAGTTTACATTTTTAGCCAATAAAACATTAGGATTTTATTTTTTGAGCGGGGACAATTAATTTATAGTTTTTTTCTTATTCTTGAAAAAACACGACTGGCGGATCCATAAAACAAGAAATAACATTGGTCTGGCCTAATGGTTGACAAATGGAGCTTGTAAAGTTTATGCCTGTTTTCAGGATCTAGCATTTATTGTGATTGGTACTGGACTGGTGTTCAGCTTTCTTTTCCACATTGGAACCAAAGAGAAACGTACAGAGAACTTGGACCCGGAGTTCTCCCATGGTCGAGATGCCCTCGACACCACCACCTCTGGATCCTTACAGAGGTCATCAAAATGTAACAGAATGAGCACCACAGACTGGTTGAAAGAACCCCAGTTTTTTCAGGTTGGTGTAAAGTGTACTAGTCTGATATTATGAATAACATGTTGTGGAGGTACGATACCACCCAATCACTCAAACCTTTGGGCCTGATCACCTGATCCATGAGGTTGTGTCTTTTGACAGGCATAGGTGTCGAAGGACAATGAGGTGACTGTAAATGCACGATATTAGGATGAGCTAGAAGTGTAGTACCTTCATTAGGGTTTGGCAATAATACCGGTTTACCGGAATATTGCAATTCGAACTTCACAATACGATATATTGCGGTACACTTTTCGCAAACCGGTTCACCCGATATGATCGGCAATTTCCGTGACAATGATCGGTAATTTTCGTGGTGTAGTCAAAAATACGATTAACGTTTGTATATCCTTTATATTGTTATACGTTAATAGTTTTGAGAATTTGAGAATAGTTTATTGGTCACATAATTGTATTTGCGTGACTTTTAAACCATATAGATGAAAATAAAATGACTGGTGCCAGCACTTGTTGTAGGGAAACATTTTCAATTGATCTCTTGTACAATCACATTCCGACAGTGGCCAGAGGCATTGTTTGAAAAGAAAGGAAACAGTAGTTCCGATCCATTGCCTTAAACCATGTGTTCCACTTTCAAAATATATTGCAATACATATTGCAAGACGCCAACACATATCACGATATATCGCAATACGAACATTTTATCAATACCCAACCCTAACCTTCATTATAGTGGATACATTCATGTACTATTGTAGTTTACATATAGCACTTACTGTCTGCAACCAAAGTGAGTGCATTTGGTTTAACTTTGCTTTGAACAGTGTTCCCGTCATATCACTAGGTGTAAGCATAATGTGAGAGCAAACCCAAACAGATGCAGGTTTTGGACCACCTTGGTTTAACCCTCAGTCAAGGATACGGTACCGACAAACCTATAAGCATAACTGGTGAATTGTCATGTCAGCCCATCATGGTAGGTTTATGTCATGCCCAAGGGATGCATCTTCTAAAACACATTTCTGCAACTGAGTCATTAGTACCCCAGCAAGATTTCTGGATTACCTGTCAGAAATGATTTATTTTGAGCATATTTACACTCATGAACTGATGTATTTCTTTTTTCAGGTTGGAGTATTATACATGTGTACAAGATTATATGTGAACCTGTCACAGGTGTATCTACCTATGTACCTGGTGGAGACACTGTCCCTAGATAAGGTATGTTAGTTGTATACATGGGTACCAGATAGTGTGTGAACCTGTAACAGGTGTATCTACCTATGTACCTGGTGGAGACACTTGCCCTAGATAAGGTATGGTAGTTGTATACATGGGTACCAAATAGTGTGTGATCTTGTCACAGGTGCAGTGTTTACAAATTGCGTCTGACCCTCTGACAAATCTGGCAGATTTGCCAACGGTCCCATAGAAGTCTACAACCAGCCGGCCCCAGTGTCTGACTGTATATCTCACAATGACTTCGACTGAAGTTGTTATATGTGACATGTGACACTTGTTTGCTGTTTATAAATCTTATGTTTGTTAATAATTTCAATGCCAATTATAAGAAATAATAAATCTGAAATGTGTGTTTAATTTTAATCTATGGGTCCTGTCAATTTCCAATGGGTCACACAGACATCTTAAACTTACAGGACCAAATGTCCTGTTACTCTGAAACACCATTCGTGAACACTGCAGGTGTATCTAACTATGTATCAGGTGGAGACACTGTCTCTAGATAAGGTATGTTAGTTGTATACATCATGGTACCTGGTAGTAGATGAAGTTGTCACAGGTGTATCTAACTATGTATAAGGTAGAGACACTATCTCTAGATAAGGGATGTTAGTTGTATACGTCATGGTACCAGGTAGTAAGTGAAGTTGTCACAGGTGTATCTAACTATGTATAAGGTAGAGACACTATCTCTAGATAAGGTATGTTAGTTGTATACATCATGGTACCTGGTAGTAGATGAAGTTGTCACAGGTGTATCTAACTATGTATCAGGTGGAGACACTATCTCTAGATAAGGTATGTTAGTTGTAGACGTCATGGTACCAGGTAGTAAGTGAAGTTGTCACAGGTGTATCTAACTATGTATAAGGTGGAGACACTGTCTCTAGATAAGGTATGTTAGTTGTATACATCATGGTACCAGGTAGTAAGTGAAGTTGTCACAGGTGTATCTAACTATGTATAAGGTGGAGACACTGTCTCTAGATAAGGTATGTTAGTTGTATACGTCATGGTACCAGGTAGTAAGTGAAGTTGTCACAGGTGTATCTAACTATGTATAAGGTAGAAACACTATCTCTAGATAAGGGATGTTAGTTGTATACGTCATGGTACCAGGTAGTAAGTGAAGTTGTCACAGGTGTATCTAACTATGTATAAGGTGGAGACACTGTCTCTAGATAAGGTATGTTAGTTGTATACGTCATGGTACCAGGTAGTAAGTGAAGTTGTCACAGGTGTATCTAACTATGTATAAGGTGGAGACACTGTCTCTAGATAAGGTATGTTAGTTGTATACGTCATGGTACCAGGTAGTAAGTGAAGTTGTCACAGGTGTATCTAACTATGTATAAGGTGGAGACACTATCTCTAGATAAGGGATGTTAGTTGTATACATCATGGTACCAGGTAGTAAGTGAAGTTGTCACAGGTGTATCTAACTATGTATAAGGTAGAGACACTATCTCTAGATAAGGTATGTTAGTTGTATACGTCATGGTACCAGGTAGTAAGTGAAGTTGTCACAGGTGTATCTAACTATGTATAAGGTAGAGACACTATCTCTAGATAAGGGATGTTAGTTGTATACAAGTCATGGTACCAGGTAGTAAGTGAAGTTGTCACAGGTGTATCTAACTATGTATAAGGTGGAGACACTATCTCTAGATAAGGTATGTTAGTTGTATACGTCATGGTACCAGGTAGTAAGTGAAGTTGTCACAGGTGTATCTAACTATGTATAAGGTGGAGACACTATCTCTAGATAAGGTATGTTAGTTGTATACGTCATGGTACCAGGTAGTAAGTGAAGTTGTCACAGGTGTATCTAACTATGTATAAGGTGGAGACACTATCTCTAGATAAGGTATGTTAGTTGTATACATCATGGTACCAGGTAGTAAGTGAAGTTGTCACAGGTGTATCTAACTATGTATAAGGTGGAGACACTATCTCTAGATAAGGTATGTTAGTTGTATACATCATGGTACCAGGTAGTAAGTGAAGTTGTCACAGGTGTATCTAACTATGTTTCTGGTAGAGACACTATCTCTAGATAAGGTATGTTAGTTGTATACATCATGGTACCAGGTAGTAAGTGAAGTTGTCACAGGTGTATCTAACTATGTATTCTGGTGGAGACACTGTCTCTAGATAAGGTATGTTAGTTGTATACGTCATGGTACCAGGTAGTAAGTGAAGTTGTCACAGGTGTATCTAACTATGTATAAGGTGGAGACACTATCTCTAGATAAGGTATGTTAGTTGTATACGTCATGGTACCAGGTAGTAAGTGAAGTTGTCACAGGTGTATCTAACTATGTATAAGGTGGAGACACTATCTCTAGATAAGGTATGTTAGTTGTATACATCATGGTACCAGGTAGTAAGTGAAGTTGTCACAGGTGTATCTAACTATGTATAAGGTGGAGACACTATCTCTAGATAAGGTATGTTAGTTGTATACATCATGGTACCAGGTAGTAAGTGAAGTTGTCACAGGTGTATCTAACTATGTATAAGGTGGAGACACTGTCTCTAGATAAGGTATGTTAGTTGTATACATCATGGTACCAGGTAGTAAGTGAAGTTGTCACAGGTGTATCTAACTATGTATAAGGTGGAGACACTATCTCTAGATAAGGTATGTTAGTTGTATACGTCATGGTACCAGGTAGTAAGTGAAGTTGTCACAGGTGTATCTAACTATGTATAAGGTAGAAACACTATCTCTAGATAAGGGATGTTAGTTGTATACGTCATGGTACCAGGTAGTAAGTGAAGTTGTCACAGGTGTATCTAACTATGTATAAGGTGGAGACACTGTCTCTAGATAAGGTATGTTAGTTGTATACGTCATGGTACCAGGTAGTAAGTGAAGTTGTCACAGGTGTATCTAACTATGTATAAGGTGGAGACACTGTCTCTAGATAAGGTATGTTAGTTGTATACGTCATGGTACCAGGTAGTAAGTGAAGTTGTCACAGGTGTATCTAACTATGTATAAGGTAGAAACACTATCTCTAGATAAGGGATGTTAGTTGTATACATCATGGTACCAGGTAGTAGATGAAGTTGTCACAGGTGTATCTAACTATGTTTCTGGTAGAGACACTATCTCTAGATAAGGGATGTTAGTTGTATACATCATGGTACCAGGTAGTAAGTGAAGTTGTCACAGGTGTATCTAACTATGTTTCTGGTAGAGACACTATCTCTAGATAAGGGATGTTAGTTGTATACGTCATGGTACCAGGTAGTAAGTGAAGTTGTCACAGGTGTATCTAACTATGTATAAGGTGGAGACACTATCTCTAGATAAGGTATGTTAGTTGTATACATCATGGTACCAGGTAGTAAGTGAAGTTGTCACAGGTGTATCTAACTATGTATAAGGTGGAGACACTATCTCTAGATAAGGTATGTTAGTTGTATACATCATGGTACCAGGTAGTAAGTGAAGTTGTCACAGGTGTATCTAACTATGTTTCTGGTAGAGACACTGTCTCTAGATAAGGTATGTTAGTTGTATATGTCATGGTACCAGGTAGTAAGTGAAGTTGTCACAGGTGTATCTAACTATGTATAAGGTGGAGACACTATCTCTAGATAAGGTATGTTAGTTGTATATGTCATGGTACCAGGTAGTAAGTGAAGTTGTCACAGGTGTATCTAACTATGTATAAGGTGGACACTATCTCTAGATAAGGTATGTTAGTTGTATACATCATGGTACCAGGTAGTAGATGAAGTTGTCACAGGTGTATCTAACTATGTTTCTGGTAGAGACACTATCTCTAGATAAGGTATGTTAGTTGTATACGTCATGGTACCAGGTAGTAAGTGAAGTTGTCACAGGTGTATCTAACTATGTATAAGGTGGAGACACTATCTCTAGATAAGGTATGTTAGTTGTATACGTCATGGTACCAGGTAGTAAGTGAAGTTGTCACAGGTGTATCTAACTATGTATAAGGTGGAGACACTGTCTCTAGATAAGGTATGTTAGTTGTATACATCATGGTACCAGGTAGTAAGTGAAGTTGTCACAGGTGTATCTAACTATGTATAAGGTGGAGACACTATCTCTAGATAAGGTATGTTAGTTGTATACATCATGGTACCAGGTAGTAGATGAAGTTGTCACAGGTGTATCTAACTATGTTTCTGGTGGAGACACTATCTCTAGATAAGGTATGTTAGTTGTATACGTCATGGTACCAGGTAGTAAGTGAAGTTGTCACAGGTGTATCTAACTATGTTTCTGGTAGAGACACTGTCTCTAGATAAGGTATGTTAGTTGTATACGTCATGGTACCAGGTAGTAAGTGAAGTTGTCACAGGTGTATCTAACTATGTATAAGGTGGAGACACTATCTCTAGATAAGGTATGTTAGTTGTATACATCATGGTACCAGGTAGTAAGTGAAGTTGTCACAGGTGTATCTAACTATGTTTCTGGTGGAGACACTGTCTCTAGATAAGGTATGTTAGTTGTATACATCATGGTACCAGGTAGTAAGTGAAGTTGTCACAGGTGTATCTAACTATGTATCAGGTGGAGACACTGTCTCTAGATAAGGTATGTTAGTTGTATACATCATGGTACCAGGTAGTAGATGAAGTTGTCACAGGTGTATCTAACTATGTATAAGGTGGAGACACTATCTCTAGATAAGGTATGTTAGTTGTATACATCATGGTACCAGGTAGTAAGTGAAGTTGTCACAGGTGTATCTAACTATGTATAAGGTGGAGACACTATCTCTAGATAAGGTATGTTAGTTGTATACATCATGGTACCAGGTAGTAAGTGAAGTTGTCACAGGTGTATCTAACTATGTATAAGGTGGAGACACTGTCTCTAGATAAGGTATGTTAGTTGTATACATCATGGTACCAGGTAGTAAGTGAAGTTGTCACAGGTGTATCTAACTATGTATAAGGTAGAGACACTGTCTCTAGATAAGGTATGTTAGTTGTATACATCATGGTACCAGGTAGTAAGTGAAGTTGTCACAGGTGTATCTAACTATGTATAAGGTAGAGACACTATCTCTAGATAAGGGATGTTAGTTGTATACGTCATGGTACCAGGTAGTAAGTGAAGTTGTCACAGGTGTATCTAACTATGTATAAGGTAGAGACACTGTCTCTAGATAAGGGATGTTAGTTGTATACATCATGGTACCAGGTAGTAGATGAAGTTGTCACAGGTGTATCTAACTATGTATAAGGTGGAGACACTGTCTCTAGATAAGGTATGTTAGTTGTATACATCATGGTACCAGGTAGTAAGTGAAGTTGTCACAGGTGTATCTAACTATGTATAAGGTGGAGACACTGTCTCTAGATAAGGGATGTTAGTTGTATACATGGGTACCAGATACTAGTAGTATGTGAACCTGTCACAGGTGTATCTAACAAACCATTATGTATTCAGGGCTGAAGACATTTTGTTCTTCTGAAAACTATGATACAGTGATAGAGGAATGCTTAAAAAAACATTTACAGTAGATTTTGCTTTATGTACAAATCATTCTGGTATGTTGACACAAGGATGGAAATGATTGTGATAATTGTACCATTTTTCAGACCAATATTGCCATCGTACCTTTGGTTGTGTATGTGACTGGGTTTTTCACTTCGCTTGTTATGAAGCCAGTCAACCATCTAGTTGGGAGGAAGGTGAGTTTTGATACTAAAACATGATTAAAACTTCAGCTTTGATTGGTTTACCAAACGACAATATGAAGTGTAAATAAATTTTAAAAATGCCAAGTTTTCTATTTGACCTAAAGGAAATGCATTCACTGAAAAATAGTTGTAGTTCATTAATAATGTCATGGTAGAGACTTTGGTAATGTCATGTAGTGACTACGGTTCCCTTCTGTGCAGGTTACCTACATCATTGGGATTGTGTTTGCTGTGGGGTCGTGTGTGTGGATCCACTTTATAACCAGCGCCAGTGCCATGCAGGTGTTTGGGGTCGCTGTACTCATGGGAGTTGGAGGAACCACCATGCTGATTACCTCCCTTGCAATGACCGCTGACCTCATTGGTAACAACACTGTAAGATTTCCTGACACTCTTAGTGGAGATTTCAACATTGATTTAAATATGGAAACAGTTTTGCACCCAAACACTGTGTAATGTTAGCCAAATATACTTTGAAATTCTTATTATGGTCCTTGTATCAGACAGACTGAAGAATGAGTTTTGTAAAGTTACAATGACTGTGATGCTGACATGTTTGCAGGAGAGTGGAGCATTTGTGTATGGTGCTATGAGTTTTACTGACAAGCTGTCCAATGGGATCGCCATAGAGATTATACAGCTGTTGCATCCTTGTGTGTAAGTATTATACATATGACTATGTCATATACACATTTATACAGTGTGTGTAGATAGTTATAACCCTGTTTGGGTTTACTATTCTTTTAAGATCGCTGCATTGACACATTGTAATGTAATCCCTACAGACGTCAGCTCACCAGGAAAATGTTCATGTGAGCTTCTGTCTGTCTACCAGTGGGTCTTTTAACACTTATCTTCACAATTCTTTCTGCGGTAATATACTATTCGCACTATTGCTCTACATGTCACTGGTGATCAAAATGGCTTAGCACAGCAGCAAAGTCCAAAATAATTTTTAAACTTTTATACTCTTATGGAAACAACAAGGGTGGTCATAGATTATAAGAAGATGTATGCAATGTATTTTTGTTCATCAATTTTGGATTTTTGTGGTTCCAACCTTTTGGCAACAAAAAACATGCCATTCAAATTCATTGATAAATCTTCAATGGGGGTGGAATTGGATGGGATTGACAGACTCAATGACTTTGTTGAATGGGCATCAGTTAACTTTAATGGTGTGGATCATTGTTCATGAATAGCCGGGGCGGTGGGGTAGCCAGACTAGTGGTTAAAGCGTTGGCTCGTCACGCCAAGGGCCCGGGTTTGAATCCCCACATGGATACAATGTGTGAAGCCCATTTCTGATGTCCCCCGCCGTGATGTTGCTGGAATATTGCTAAAAGCGGCGTAAAACCTAACTCAGTCAGTCAGTCAGTCAGTCAGTCATAAAATGCCATCACTGGAGTGTCTGGTCCAAACTCAGTTATTTAAAAACTGTCGTCATGTAGCTGGAATACTGTGCAAACAACAAACAAACATAATGATGAAGTTTCCTTTGCCTTCCATAGTTTCCATGCACCATGTATGCTAACCGTGTAAGTATGTCTCTGACTGTACATAACATATGGAACAATTCTCTTTATCATGGGACTGCCTGCTGTATACAAGCGCCTTGCTAAATATGTAGTATCATCCCTGCCTTCATGTTCATGAGACTCTTAGTCTTCCATCTCATCTTGTATCTTTGAATATGAATATCTGTCTTCCGCATTGGTTCTGCTTTATCCTCTCTCCTGCTTTCTACTTAATATAAGTCAGGTGTTGGATTCAAATCAAAGGGCAACAATTCAAATACAATGGATAGGGTACATTGCTGTTGAATGGGGAGTGATTGGGTTATGGTAGGGTAGTGGTTGTGTGAAAGTAGGGTAAAGACTGGATTGAGGTGAGGTGGTGACTGGGGTGAGTTGGGGTAGGGACTGGGTTGAGGTGAGGTTGTGACTTGGGTGAGGTAGGGTAGTCACTGGGGTGAGGTAGGGTAGTGACTGGCTTGAGGTAGGGTAATGACTTGGGCGAGGTAGGGTAATGACTTGGGTGAGGTGGGGTAATGACTTGGGTGAGGTGGCATAGTGACTGGGTTGAGGTGGGGTAGTGAGGGGTGAGGTGGCATAGTGACTGGGGTGAGGTGCGGGTGACTGGGCTGAGGTGGGGTACTGGGGTGAGGTGACATGAGGGTGAGTGACTGGGTGAGGTGGGGCAGTGACTGGGTTGAGGTGGAGTAGTGACTGGGCTGAGGTGGCAGCAGTGACTGGGGGAGGTGGGGTAGTGACTGGTGAGGTGGGGTAGTGACTGGGGTGAGGTGGGGTAGTGACAGGGTGGTGGGGCAGAGTCTGGGGTGAGGTGGGGTAGTGACTGGGGTGAGGTGGCATAGTGACTGGGCTGAGGTGGCAGTGACTGGGGTGAGGTGGGGTAGTGACTGGGTGACTGGGGTTGAGGTGGGGTAGTGACAGGGTTGAGGTGGGGTAGTGACAGGGTTGAGGTGGGGGTAGAGTCAGGGCTGAGGTGGGGTAGTTACTGGGGTGAGGTGGCATAGTGACTGGGGTGAGGTGGGGTAGTGACAGGGTTGAGGTGGGGTAGAGTCAGGGTTGAGGTGGGGTAGTGACTGGGTTGAGGTGGGGTAGTGACTGGGGTGAGGTGGAGTAGTGACTGGGGTGAGGTGGGATATTGACTTGAGTGAGGTGAGGTTACACAAGAACTTTGTAATCAAAGGTCAGTTGTGATATATTTGACTGGAATGGGATTGGTTACTGTTAAGATATTGGAACACAATATGTTCAACAAAAAGAACGCAGCAAACTTTGATTTGGCCTTTCACTTTGGAAAGTATGATAATATCACTTTTGTAATTTTCTCTGCTGTTATCTAATATGATGAAAAGAATAAATTATAAATGGCGATTTTTCAACACGAGGAGGGAGTAGAAAAAAGAATCCTTTAAGAAGGGCAACAGCAATAGTATTTTAAGTAGAGTCATGTGTTTGGGAATTCCCAGCTCCAGCTCCTCTGTGATCAGTCAAGTATGTATGCACAAATGTAACAAGAGCATTTAAGTGGGTTATCTGTGTTTATGTGAGATATCGCTGTGCAGTGGTAACGTGATGTGTTTGGACATTTTTATTGTCTATTGATAATGTCTTGATTGGAAACACTGGGCATGCAGCCAGAATACAAGATAAAGATGATTGTCATATCTCATGCATGATAAAGTGTATTTACTGGACTGCTCGAAGTATTATCTGTCTAAGGTCACAGATTCAGGTCACTCAGCGCCAGGTCAACATGCATGTTGTGTGTTGTTACATGTATTTTCCATGATCTGTCTGACACTAAAGCTGTAATGATTTGAATTAGATTACACCTGTGGATCTGTCGTGAAGATGCCCTCTGAAATCAAGTTTGTTGTTGGATATTATTTTATGCATAAACACATTACAAGTTATAAATGTGGAGATGATACTACTACTACTACTACTACTACTACTACTACTACTACTACTACTACTACTACTACTACTACTACTACTACTACTACTACTACTACTACTGCTACCACTGCTACTACAACTCTACGACTACTACTGTCTCTACTCTGGGGCGGTGGGGTAGCCTAATGGTTAAAGCGTTGGCTCGTCCATCCTTGACCCGGTCGAATCCCCACATGGGTACATCCCCCGCCTTGATGTCTGCTGTCCCCCGCCTTGATAAAAGCTGGAAAACCAAACTCAGCAGTCAGTCAGTCAGTCAGTCAGTCAGTCAGTCAGTCTCTATTCTAACTACTACTACTACTACTACTACTACTACTACTACTACTACTACTACAGTCTATTCTAACTACTACTACTACTACTACTACTACTACTACTACTACTACTGCTGCTGCTGCTGCTGCTGCTACTACTACTACTACTACTACTACTGCATACCCTTGGAGATGTGGGTTAGAATTGGTCTTCAGCAACCCAAGTCATAGGAGGTGACTAACAGGTTATGGCTGTAAAATTACAGAGTACGGCATTAGGCAACAAATAAACAAACTACTGCAGCATTGGAGGGTTCCAGGCAATGCTTGCACATGTTTGATTATCCAGTGTAACATTTGACTATACAGGAAAGACATTATTCATGGCTTCATCTCCTCTAGCTCTGATCAAATATTCAAATTATCAAATGCACAAATGTACGAATTCACGCACTCACAAATGCACGCATCCACACTGCATGCATGCACACACAAACGCACGTACAAAGATATGCTTGCTGAAATACAGACACAAACACATACACACATACACACAAATACATGCACTGTCTTGGATATCACGCAAAGCAAATTCATTCAAACTTTCAATATTCTATACAAAGAAACTTATGCCAATTGTGTCAGAGACCTACCACGAACATTTTTTGCCTGTTTTCTTTTTTTCAAATTAATTACTTCGGACAGTCTTGAATAAAATGTGAACATCAAACGAAACAATTATTTATCATCAACTAAGAAATATAATGTGAGCTAAGGTTGATGGTTCATGTCAATTTTGTTTTCTATGAAAAACTGTAGCAGATGCATGTTTTCAAAGTAGTATAATTAGAATCTGGCAGAATCCAATATGCCTGCTGCAGCAAATTCAAGGATCTATGAAAAAAACTCCAATATGACCACACCCAAAATGGTTACAGCAAATAAGTTAATTTCCAAATGTGGAAAGTACTACAGCTGATAGATTCAGAGAAAATGATTGCAGAAAATGTATAACCTAGAAAGATGACAAGTGAATTCTGAACATGTTGAATCCTAAATGGCTGCCACATCATGTTACTTTTGACACGTGATCAATAACGGAAAGTAAACTCTGACAATATATGAAGCAAAGTCTGGCACTACTTAATATAACTTTCCATGCAAGCAAATCTCAAAGATACCAATGCAAGAAAGTTATGAACACTTTTGAAACATTTGGCACCTAATAAGGATTCATGATGGTGGCATGGCTAACATAGTCTTTGCTCATATAACTGGAGAGATGATTTGGGCAGGCAAGTACTAGTACAACAATATTGCTGCCAAACTTTTCTTAGCAACATGGAACCTTAGATGACACTGATCTACCGGTAATACTGGTTTTGTATACCCACTTGTCAGGCCCTCTGACTACAGAGTTCGGAGACAATTGCTGCTATAAGATTAAATTAAGATTTGTCTGCCTTTACTCCCTGAGTAATAATAATCTATCCAAATAACATAATCAGGCTTCAACCAACTTGGTTTGGAGCCCTACTGGTGAGGATGATGACAGGTGACTTCACTGCATGGACAGGATGAAAGGGTGTGCTCATAGTACCTCACAGTATTGGGTTAGTTTGTACATGTATTAGTATTGCAGCAGTTCAGTATGGTTTTACAATGTGTTTAAACATATGCCAGCAATGTCAAAATGGGGGATATAGATATACCCCAGTTCACAGATTTTCAAAGAAAAGGCATCATTTTTTTGTCTAATGTGCCGTGTTAGACAACACATAAACTCATCTAAATCTGCCTGGGTCACATACTAAACCAGTTTGTCAATGAAACAGGAATGATATACAGTATACAGTGCCATTAGCTATTGGGTCAATAGACATGTCAGCAAGGAATTCATGAAAACTTTGTACTAAACATCAATGTAGTTTCCTGCAATAAACACAAATTCACTGTTTTCAGTTAAAAAACCTAGATGTTATATGTAACATACAGCCTACAATCAATAAAGCTGGACTTGATATTAGGCTGAAGATTTACTCTGATCTGACCCGGGTTAGAATATTGGCCTTCAGTAACCTATGCTTGTCGAAAGAGGCGACTAACGGGATCGGGTGTTCAGGCTCGCTGACTTGGTTGACACATGTCATCGGTTCCCAATTGTGCAGATCGATGCTCGTGCTGTTGATTACTGGATTGTCTAGTCCAGACTCAATTATTTACAAACGAACGCCATATAGCTGGAAAATTGCTGAGTGCGGCGTAAAACTCAACTCACTGACTCACTACTCTGATCTGATGTAAAATGCAAGGGAATGTTAAAATATGTCAAATATGTTAAAAATGTTTTCTTTGCTCCAAACATTTGACTGTCAACCTGTGTAACAATTTGTTTGACAGTGTGAGATTTGGTGGGCATACAGGATACTTCACAAATATTACTAAATGTGCTAATGACAGAGAGAATCAGAAACTTTAAAAAATGTTGACATATAGAACAGTTCATCAAGGCCCTCAGTAGACACTCTCCTTATACAGGGTTTTACATGACGCGTGCTTCCTGCGTATTTGATGCAACAATTTTGTTAATGACTCTCAAAATACTATCATACGAGTCAAGCTTGATGCAAGATTTATAGGTGGCTCTCACAATTTTCATGACTCCCAAATATTGAAAATGACTCCCCCCCAAAAAATATTGTGAGTCAGCACGACTCCCATTTTTAAATGTCTGTGTAAAACCCTGCTTATAGGTTATACAGAATGTATAGGTCACACTAATGTGCTGCTGCTTTAATAACAATATATGGCAACACCAGCTGAGTGTCCCGTCCGTCTTCTCTCATGGAATCCTGGGACATTGGCAAACAAATCACTGACTTTCCTTCTGTCAAAGAGCACCAAATTTGCAAGATGTGTTAAGATTTATAGAACGTGTGATTGCACAAGACTTGTTCCTCCCTGGCAGGGACTGCTGTCCACTCTGTCTACCCTTCTACCGCTTGGTCCAGTCTGTGGTGCCAGGATCCTGTGCCATTCTAGGATTTGTGGTGTTGCTGACTCTTCTACCCCAGAAACTTGGCGCCAGGTGGAGAGATAAAGGTACCAGGCATTCTATCAATTGTAGCCATTGCAGGAGCCCAGTGTATACCCTGCCACTATAACACTAGTCAGTTACAGGTGCTGGTGAGATCAGTGTCTTATTGGCTGCTGGTGAGATCTGTGTCTTATTGGCTGGCTGGTGAGATCTGTGTCTTATTGGCTGGCTGGTGAGATCTGTGTCTTATTGGCTGGCTGGTGAGATCTGTGTCTTATTGGCTGGCTGGTGAGATCTGGGAGTCTTGTATATCAGTTACAGGTGCTGGTGAGATCTGTGTCTTATTGGCTGCTGGTGAGATCTGTGTCTTATTGGCTGCTGGTGAGATCTGTGTCTTATTGGCTGGCTGGTGAGATCTGTGTCTTATTGGCTGGCTGGTGAGATCTGTGTCTTATTGGCTGGCTGGTGAGATCAGTGTCTTATTGGCTGGCTGGTGAGATCTGTGTCTTATTGGCTGGCTGGTGAGATCTGTGTCTTGTATTGGCTGGCTGGTGAGGTGAGATCTGTGTCTTATTGGCTGGCTGGTGAGATCAGTGTCTTATTGGCTGGCTGGTGAGATCTGTGTCTTATTGGCTGGCTGGTGAGATCTGGGAGTCTTGTATATCAGTTACAGGTGCTGGTGAGATCTGTGTCTTATTGGCTGGCTGGTGAGATCTGGGAGTCTTGTATATCAGTTACAGAAATTTGTGAGATCTGTGTGTCTCTCGTTAGTTTCAGTCTGATATCAGGCATAGAGCTCACCTGACATGTTTACATGAAAGGTTTCTGTGTTGTAATATTCTTGCACTGATTCCATATGAATACACAATGCCATTTAACATGTTGACTGCCACCACATGTATACTGTATTTGCCACTATGAGTTATCTCGTAACTACATCAATGGTGTTTTGAAACAAGTTTCACATGTTGGCAAAACAGGCAGAAGAAGAAATCGTCTCCTGGCGGTAACAAAGAACGCCAGGAGACGTTTGTTTCTTGTGCCTATTTTGCCAACATGTGAAACTTGTTTCAAAATACCATTTTGCCACTACGAGATAACTCGTAGTGGCACATTCGGCCAGAATTGATACTACAAGTATACTCGTGATAGGCAGTCAACGTGTTAAAAAGTTGTCAAATGTAACATGTTATATTTGAACCCACACTCGCACTGCCAGGCACCTCAATCGCCAGCACACAGTCAATGATCTAACCCACACTCTCACTGCCAGGCACCTTAATCGCCAGCACACAGTCAATGATCTAACCCACACTCTCACTGCCAGGCACCTTAATCGCCAGCACACAGTCAATGATCTAACCCACACTCTCACTGCCAGGCACCTTAATCGCCAGCACACAGTCAATGATCTAACCCACACTCACTGCCAGGCACCTTAATCGCCAGCACACAGTCAATGATCTAACCCACACTCTCACTGCCAGGCACCTTAATCGCCAGCACACAGTCAATGATCTAACCCACACTCTCACTGCCAGGCACCTCAATCGCCAGCACACAGTCAATGATCTAACCCACACTCTCACTGCCAGGCACCTCAATCGCCAGCACACAGTCAATGATCTAACCCACACTCTCACTGCCAGGCACCTTAATCGCCAGCACACAGTCAATGATCTAACCCACACTCTCACTGCCAGGCACCTCAATCGCCAGCACACAGTCAATGATCTAACCCACACTCACTGCCAGGCACCTCAATCGCCAGCACACAGTCAATGATCTAACCCACACTCTCACTGCACTGCCAGGCACCTTAATCGCCAGCACACAGTCAATGATCTAACCCACACTCTCACTGCCAGGCACCTCAATCGCCAGCACACAGTCAATGATCTAACCCACACTCTCACTGCCAGGCACCTCAATCGCCAGCACACAGTCAATGATCTAACCCACACTCTCACTGCCAGGCACCTCAATCACCAGCACACAGTCAATGATCCAACCCACACTCGCACTGCCAGGCACCTTAATCGCCAGCACACAGTCAATGATCCAACCCACACTCTCACTGCCAGGCACCTTAAATCGCCAGCACACAGTCAATGATCTAACCCACACTCTCACTGCCAGGCACCTTAATCGCCAGCACACAGTCAATGATCTAACCCACACTCACTGCCAGGCACCTCAATCGCCAGCACACAGTCAATGATCTAACCCACACCTCACACTGCCAGGCACCTTAATCGCCAGCACACAGTCAATGATCTAACCCACATGCCAGGCACCTTAATCGCCAGCACTTTTGCAGTAAATTACAGATTATGAGAAAAATCATTGACTTTGTGTGCTGGTGATTAGGCCTCTGAGAGTCCAAATTTCAGATGGGACTCAGCTTAAAGATCACATATACTCTATACTGTCATTAACACTACTCATTTCGATCTTTAAATAACTTAAATCGACCTTTTTGACAACAGTGCACAATTCTCACCCGCGAACGAAATTTCAACCAATCAGAGTGGCGCATCTCTGTGATGTCATATGAGGAATAGATATGAGGGCCGATGCAGAATTCATCTACATTTCAGGGGGTAAATTATCTTGTTTACAGGTTTGTATAAACCTGAAATCGTGACAACTGTTGTGAAAAATGAAAGCTATATGTTCTCACAATCTACTGTCATTTGATTTTGTCTCCTGCTTTGCCTAGTTTCCGAGGTTCAACTTGTTTTCATAGACGATTCTGTCAAAATCGCTTGGTGTCGCTAGGCCTTTTTCTTCGAGCCACACGCTAGTGATAGTGAAAACGATGATCAGCCTCGCTCATCACGGTTACGGTAAATTTCTTCAACCTTAACAGTGCGACATTAGGAAGGGTGGATGCAGTATACTGTGTCTGAGTGGGGTATTCATGCTTCACTGTGGCATGGTATCTCAGTGAGCTAGCACTATAAAACCAGCTTAAGTCTGGGCTAGTACAAGCAGCCGCACATACACATACACACGCATGCACGTCGTCATATGAGCGAAATATTCTCAAGCACGACATTAAACCCAATTTCACCTCACCTCACCTCCTTAACTTCTTTATTAGTATAAATGTAGCATAAGTTTGATGAAAGATGTGAAGGAATCTTTTCATATTTGATTGAATCTGAATGTGTACACATATCTTCCCCTTTTTTTTCCAGTGGAGCTAACAGTGGACCCACTTTTTCAAAATGGATCCCTTCCTGCTGTTTGTGATGACGACTGTGATGAGAAGTCCCCTCTTCTCAAGAAGAACATCAATACATCTCCAGTAGTAAGGGAGAGACTATCATCCAACTCTCCACAAATAACCGCCATACTTCACACTTCCATGAATAGTCCACCTGTAGATGTGGAAGCCATTAAGTAGAAGTTGCTGTTCCAGGTCATACACTGCTGTGCCAACACATATGTCTCCTGTGTAAGCCTACACAATTTCGTCAGTGCTGAGTTGATAGCTTTCAAGGAACACCACATTAACATGTTCATTCTTCGTCACAGGATCTCTTTGAGCCATACAACATCCCATCACTTTATGTAAGGAAAACAGTTCTTTGTTTTATGCACAAGTGAACCTGTGACCTCCTGAGGACAACTCGTTTTCATACAAGTAAACCTGTGACTTCTTGAAGGGGGAACAACTCTCGTTGTACAAACAAGTAAACCTGTGACTTCTTGAAGGGGGAACAACTTCGGTTGACAAACAAGTAAACCTGTGACTTCTTGAAGGGGGAACAACTCTCGTTTTCATACAAGTAAACCCAAGGCTTCTTGAAGGGGGAACAACTCTCGTTGTACAAACAAGTAAACCTGTGACTTCTTGAAGGGGGAACAACTCTCGTTGTACAAACAAGTAAACCTGTGACTTCTTGAAGGGGGAACAACTCTCGTTGTACAAACAAGTAAACCCAAGGCTTCTTGAAGGGGGAACAACTCTCGGTCTACAAACAAGTAAACCTGTGACTTCTTGAAGGGGAAACAACTCTTGATTTACAGACAGGCGAACCCGTGGCTTCATGTAGGGGAGACAACTTCATAAATGTGCAATGCATTGTATAATAGTGGGAAACATTCTGAAAGGCAGCTTTTAGATGTACATACTACCACAGTATGTTGTGAGAGCCTTGCTAAAAAGGCAACAGTTGTAGCACAGGCCTGAACAATGCTATTTTTACCTGCTGAGAAACAGAATTCAAACAACAACCAGGGGTTGACCTAATGATACAACTTGACACTCCAACTGCTTCTTTGAGATTTATCATTTGAATTTGATATTTAAAAAAAAAAAATTATCAGTTGTTATGTTATACAGCAAGAGATTGTGGTGCTTTTAGCTGATGTCAGGAAGTGTTGGGAGGAAGAACTCTTTTCGAGTTTTCATTAAAATATACATGTAACCTAAAGTAATGTACAAGAACTTACCTTCAAGTACTGTTTTCAAGGTGTGCCCATATGTACTTATGGTGAGTATGATCATAAAAAATGCCAGTTTTGGACAGGACTGGGGTGGTTGTAAATGGTAAGCTTAGAACAGTTTACATGTGAGTTTTCTAGGTTTTAGACTATCTGACTGAAAGTCAAACGACTTCCAGTCATGGCTCATTCTGTTTTATGTCTATGAATACATTTATAGATGTCTATCAAGTTCATATATACCATATCATAACATCATAGGTTTTTTTCGCCAGGTTTGTTTTTGAACCAGCACCATTGTTTGGCTTTCATGTATTCGAGTTTTTCTAATGTTACTGCCTTTTAGTCAACTATGAAACTAAAGGGTCTGTGGAGCTGAAACTGTGAATGTCTTGGAATTGTTTTGTCACAATTTTGGTGCATTAGAGAGTGTTGTAATACAACTCCTTGGATGTGGCTAACTGGATTGGGTAATCAGGGGTTGAAATAACCCATTGCCCAGTCCAGTGTTTTTTTCTGTCGGGCAAGCAAATATGTATATCACACTGTACCGGTGTCCAGTTGATATTCCAATGTTAATTATGTTGTTTATTTAAAAAATCAACAAGAAAACGGCCTGTATAGTGGAAAAATTATCAGGGCAAGTGATTTTACATGTGCCACTGTACCGGAGTACACTAGCAATTTTAAAGTTATTTCCACCCCTGGTAATGAAGTTCGCAGATTGGTTGATACAGGTCATCTTCTACCATATAGTGTAGTCATGCAAACAAGCAAGTATTTTGGAAAATGTTTTGACTATGACTTATTGTTTTGTTAATTAGTTACAGAAGACTACAGTAACATAGGGTCCAAGTACTAGCTAGAGTGTGGCATTCATTCTGATGTTTATTAATATGTTGAGAGATGTACTATCATGTTGAGACTGTATTGAGACATAGTTAGCTGAATAGTGCATTTTTGAATAGTTTGAACTGAAACTAAATACACCTGCTCAAATGTTTTACAATTTTGGCGTCAGGATGTCTGTTTAGGGAACTGTTTCATAAATAATTTGTAGGAATTCATCAATGAAGTTCATTTCTGTTGAAGATTAGCTCATTAGAAAGTGAAATTTCTTCCTTCATACTAAACCCTGTCACCTTGTCAAACTCAATACAAAAAGACTGAAACCATATCACTTATTATCCCCTAAGTTGAAAAACTGGTAATATAGCGATCAGTCAGTCTGTCCGGTGTGTTTCCCAGAGCAGAACTCCTTCGCTGTTAGACAGCTCTTGATGAGACTTGTTATACAGATCAGTCTGTTATGAGCTGGTGCTTTTTGATGATTTCAGATTAAAAAATATTAATTTATGTTTTCATGACAGTATGTTACTCCCAAGTCATTAAATATTTCTGGATGAAACTAGATCAGTATAATGGTGTAATGAATCCACTGGACCCGGAGGGAAAATGGAAACTCTTAATCACCCTTGTTTCTATGTCTGAAGTCTCTGTCATGTTGGATTGTCAAAATAGTAAACCATAATTTGTTTGTAAGGTGTTTGTCTTCCACTATTATTTACAGGATGGCAATCACATATACTGTTATGACATAGAGAAAGTCATCAAGCACTACCCAAAGGAGGAAGATGTGAAGTATCATGTGACCTAGACCTGCCCACAATGTTGGGAGTTACATGTATGCACACAGAAGAAATTCTTTTGGGAATTATAAAGGACCACCTAACCAATTGCTACCTTACTTTATATTTACGGTATATTGTGGTAGATAAGCCGAATTTTGAGGACCAAAAAAAGCGGTCTGTAGAAGGGGGTCGGCTTATCTATGGGCTACATTTTCGTCAAACCTTTTTTCAGGGGGTAAGAAAATGACATCATATCGCTTCTCATGAACAAACAATCAAGAGAAAACGACAAGTAAAGACGTCAAATTTGAGATTAAACATCACTAGACAAGATTATTTACCTATTCTTAAAGCAGCTTAATTTTTCTAGCATTGAATGTTTATACAATTTTGTCATTGTTGTACACATTCCTGATTATACCTTTTAGTATTTCTGTGATAAGCTGGACTAAGTGATACTAATGAAAGACAGCATTGATACAAAGACCTGTGCGTTGATACTCAGACCGAGTGATGTAAGCCTTTAACTGTGATCCCTCATACCATGTATACTACTCAAAACAAGTTAGATATCACCCTCTGTATGGAAAGCTGCATTTCTACATCCACAAGCCAAGCCTGATTTACTGAAGTCATAAGAAACAATGGGGTGCTCTTGAACTTCACTTTAGTAGTATCACTAAATACATGTATTGGCTGTGAATCAAATGTCTTCATGTTTCCACATATCATATTAGTATGATTGTTACAGTGTAAATAGTGTCATTTTTTTAAGTACATCATCTTATATTTTTAACATGTTGATGATTGTTAAAAACATTTATTCAAGTTTCAGTTTTATGACATGTACTGCTTGATGATACAGAGTGCAATATCATATAGCCTACGGACCACAATATATCAACTTTTACAGTTTCAAGTGGAAGAAATGAGATGGGAAGCATATTATTTATATATTCATTTTCATATATATTTATCTAAAGAAGATTTAAATGGCATTTGTATGTATATTAACTGTTGATGGATGTGATTCAGATGGAACCATCAATGTTTGGTAGCACAATGTAAATGTCGGGATTGGTTTACCTGTCCAAGGTGTTTTCCTTGTATGCCAAATCCTATAACAGGTCCGTGTTTGTATACATCAGTAAATACTTACAATGTACTCAGTCTCAATATTTCCTTTCTCAGGGTTATTGAAAGGTCAGGCATACTTACATAACATTTATAATACTCACAATCTATTCTGTCCTGCATCTTGATCTTGACAAACCATGTGGGTACTGTATGATATGTAGTGTATGGGTATTTTATACTCAATACTAACCTTTTCAGTGTTACTCACATTTGTACTTATAGTTTTGTACATCAATCATACCTAATCAAAAAAGGTTGCATATTGCTTTTCCTAATGAGACAGTGACTGAATATGTTAAGGGTCCCATTTCAGAATGCCTGAGTACCTCAGAGTATACTTTCAGGAGCTGGTAACAAGCACGGATCACGCACTGGGCCTCTGCTCAGAGAGTACTTTCAGTAGCTGGTAACAATCACAAACACTGTCATCTGCTGGTGTATGGGGATGTTAGATAGCTATACATGAATCAGTAATATAAGGGCTGCAGGGCACGGTGTACAGTTGAGTACTTACCCGTGCCAGAAACTTGGATCAGGATACCATACTTTCCCTGATGAGGTTTCTAGGTCAGTCAGCACCATAACTGTGCTCGTGGCTTTCACCTAGTAAAGGTTTAAGACCTGCATTGCAACATGTCACACTTCCATTTTGTGGAAGCCGAGGTGTCTGTGTGGGTTAGATCGCTGACTTAGTGGGATTAGGTGCGACGCTCCAAAGGTGTGAGTTCTAAAGCTGGATGAGACCGAAATAAGAAAAATACTAGGATGTGTACTTAACTGAGAAAGTTCAATTCCAAATATAACATATGTTGTAAGGTAGTATTAAATAATACCCATTCATGTGCTAACATTTTTTCAACTGTGTGACAATGATGACATGTTTACATCTGCTGATGAGTTGCTTCAGTGGCGAACATTTGGTGACGTTATTCCTATTGGCAGATGAGCCTTGGCAACTTAGTCTTTTGAAAGGATGCCCATGTCTTGCCATAGGCCCATGCTTGTCACAAAAGGTGACTTACGGGATCGGGTGGTCGGGCTCGCGGACTTGGTTGACACATGTCATCGTAACCCAATTGCTTAGATCGATGCTCATGCTGTTGATCACTGGATTGTCTGATCCAGACTCGATTATTTACATACTGCTGCCATATAGGTGTTATATTGCTGAGTGCAGCATAAAACTGAACTCACTCACTCTCTTGCTTGCCATGGGAGTAGCAGATAAGAGTTGGTACATAGAAGATGAATGAGTGGTGCCTGATGTGAGGACAGTGACTTGTTCAGTTATGTTCTATGTGGTCTGTTGTACGGTACCTCCGCAGCCTGAATACATATATACATGTAGTTCAAGTTCTTACAGCCAGGATTAGAACATTACCTGCCAGTCAGATTATGTCCAGGTTTATATAACTGATGGTAAATCACAGGAGCATCTGTCTTTCGAATTTAATTAGTATGTTTATGAAGATTAAGGCAGTGACCTTTTGATATTGTATTTTTTTAAAGACAAAAGACATTGTTCCAGAAATTTTTTAAAAACATCATTTAGATATAATAATACAGTCGAGCACCGATATCTCAGTTGTCTCGATATAACATCTCGGTCCCGGCAAAATGCCTCATAATTCAAGCTCTTTTAACTCGATACGAATGTCTCGATATTTTGGATATCTCGAAATAATTTCATGGTCCCAACAAGCAAAATTACCCTTTTAACTCGATATTTGCAAAGAAACTCGATATTCACCTACCTTTCATGGACAAGCATCCATCTGAACTGAGGTAGTTTCCACATGTTTCCACACGGTGTGGCATGAATCAAAGGGATGCGGTAGTGAAAACTAATTGGGGCTAATTGAGTTGAAGGTGTCACTTGTTTGTTATTTAATTAGGATTAATTAAGAAGGAATTAATTAGGAAGTACTCACTGTTACGACAAAACACTACTGATAATGGATTATAGTTTCAAATCAGAACATACTGAGAATCCAATGATCGGTCGAGTTGTCTCGAAGTTAACTCAATATTTTTTCTTGGTCCCATGAATATCAAGACATCGGTGCTTGGCTGTAATTGTTGTGTTAAAAATATTGTACTCTGAATGAATAGGCTTCTCATTGCAAAGGAAAGCTTCATATGACACAGTAGTGCCCATCCTTCCGAATGGCTATTCCTGTAACACCATGAACTATAGGAGACAAGAGACCAGGGTTTGGGGCTGTCAAGTACAGATGCAAGGTGCAGTGGGAAGCTGAACAGTTTCTGCTGATAGAGGATTTGTTGGCAGCTGGTCTGCACTCAATGTTGTGTATAAGGGGACGTTCATAATATATGGCTAGGGGGGAATGATGATGATTTTAAGGGGGGGTCACCCATTTTGTTCTGGTACACACTTTTTAGGGGTCAGCTATTTTGTACATGAATATATTAAAGAAATCATGTTTAAAAATTATAGGGGGGGGTGTCATTGATTTTGTACATGACATGCAGGGTGGGTGGTGTGTCAACTTACTTTGTACATAAATCTTAGGGGGGTTCATTCACATGCTTCTCCATAAAAATCATCATACACACACACACACACACATTATAAACGGTTCCTAATGGTGGAATAAGGACCTGAACTAAACAGTGAAGACATTGTCTTTCTAAATGTCAGGAATGGAATTTAGGCATTAAATGAGCTGGTACTGGTGTCATATCATTTGTCTTTCTGATTGAATGCTAATAAGACATGTATGATGGTGTAAATCACTGACCTTTGCTCTCATACCACAGCTGCTACTTTGTTGTTATCTGTGTTGGTACATTTGTTGTGTATAATGCTGTACATACTGAATTGTTCGCTGAATTGAATAAAATCATATATATTTTCTTAGTTTTGTTATGTAAGTGTGTGGATCAAAGATGTTCATACAGGTGCATTCATTGAAATCTGTACACAGAAATGTGAAGTTATCAGAAACAGGGACATAACAAGGATGTGTTTTCTTAAAATTAACAACCCACGTTACAACAGGTATAATTCTGGTAGACATCCAAGGGAAAATTTGTCATATGATTGAATTGCTTTAATGAAAGAAAAAAAAAGGCAACAAAGAGCAATGTTGAGCATTTATCATTAGAACTTGATTTAAATGAACATGGTTTATACAGTGTTTCTTGGCAAACCTCTGACAGTCAAGGTACAAGACAATCCAGAGTCTGACCATTAAGTCTCCATAACGTAACATAACATTTCATTCATTCATTCTCATTCATTCATTGCTGGTGACCTATTCTAACCCAGGCTCTTATGGATTAGTGTGTTGGAGACAAGATAAACTGAAGGTTAATGTCTACAGGAATATAGGACTCATATAATTTCTTGACAATTTTCATTTTTAAAGTGTCAGTTTGACTGATGTGGTATTAATATTGTTTTTAAAATAGCTTTTGTAAAACCCATGATCAGACTATCCTGGCACTGCAAGGGGTTACAACTCTGTGATGACTTCAACCACTTGGCTACTAGTGCCCCACATCAGGTAAATTAGATGTCATATATGGATATTGTTTCAAAACAGTGTGCCCAAGGACACATTGTATGACCTTAAAGCATCTTGTGTCCCAAAATGCATATGGTAGAATACTAGCAGCAGTGGTTGATCAAACTGTTTACTATGTATTCAAGACTAAAATATCAACAACATTACATCCATATAATTTCATTGTATTTATTTACAATTTGATCATCTAACATTTACATGAGCAGGATCTGTAGCTTCAGAGGTATCCTAATATACCAGGTGTTTTGTGCTGAGAGGTTCACATGGGGAATTATTTACAGGTATCTACGGCACCGTGCTGTGGTGATGCATAGCAATTTGCAAGTCTTCTCTCAGAAACCATATTTGGCCTGTGTCTGTCGCTTGGTCATCCGACTCTGGGCCCATGAGTTTTTCAGCTCAAGCTCTCTTTCTTTGGCCTGAAAAAGGAAGACATATGTCCAAGTCATTTTCATTGGTAATTTCTACATAATGTCAAAATAAGAACCATACCTGACCAGTGATATCAAAGTATACTACATTCCTGGCAAGCCAGTGATACAACAACATACCTGTGTGATATCAACATGTACTATATATCAGGAAGTAAAGGGATATCAACATGTATAACATGCATGGCCAGGAATGTTCAGGCATATACATACCTGGCTAAGGATATCAACATGTACTATATATCAGGAAGTAAAGGGATATCAACATGTATAACATGCATGGCCAGGAATGTTCAGGCAAATACATAACTGGCTAAGGATATCGACATGTACTATATATCAGGAAGTAAAGGGATATCAACATGTATAACATGCATGGCCAGGAATGTTGAGGCATATACATACCTGGCTAAGGATATCGACATGTACAACATCCTATCCAGGTATATTGACACATCATACAACATATCTGGAAGGCCAGGGATATGAACATTTATTACACACCTGGAAGGCCAGGTAGGTGATCTGCTTCTTGCGGCGCTGCTGCTGGGTGGGATTGTTGTCCTTCTGGTGAGACTGATAGGAAGACTCTTCTGTTAGGTTCTTGGCAACATCAACAGAGCTCACAAAGTCGTCCATGTTGGCATCAATGATGTTGATCTCCTCCTTCCCACGATGCTTCTTGCCTTGGAGTCGTAGGAACTGCAACACCACATCACATGACAATCCCCTCTAGGAACACTTGCAATCCATAATCACTCTCAATCTTTGGAAAAGAGAACCCTAATTTGACTGAGAAAAGGAAACTTCGTATCACCTGCAGATGATGACTTATATTAAGTGGGCCATAAATGTATAATGTGCGAAGTGGGGACAGTCTGAACTCAACCTCACTACCCTCTCATCTGAATCAACAGCTGACCATTGCTTGTTTCTGATCTGGAAAAATGTGGCAACTAAGGACATTATTCACCCTAGTGGAACAAATATTATTTTGAACCATGTAGGCTAGCGAGTAAGGGTATGAGCACCAACCCAGTGTGAAAGGCTCTTTTAAGTGCATGATCTGAAAAATAGTCGTCTGGTCACATTACTCTCACATAAAAGAAAGTTCTTGATATGAGACACAGACTTTCTCTGTAGCTCTGGTCCAGGCAATTGATCATGACAGAATGGAAATTCCCAATACCTGCCCACTCGGAGACAACTGACCTGCTCATCTTGCATGTACTTGCTGAATTCCTCCTGAGGTGGCACCATGTTGTCCTCTTCATACGACATGGAGGGTTCCAAGTACTGAAGCAGACAAGCACAGGTTATCTCCCCTGTTAGACAGATGCACATACCAAAACAGATGGGAAACATCAGAATGTACCATTTAAAGAGTATCATTGTTATTCAACCAATCACCTGTGCATGAAGGGGATGACTGTTACATTCAACCACTTACTTGTGTGTATGCAGGGTATGATTGCTGCATTCAACCACTCACTTGTGTGTATGCAGGGTATGATTGCTGCATTCAACCACTCACTTGTGTGTATGCAGGGTATGATTGCTGCATTCAACCACTCACTTGTGTGTATGCAGGGTATGATTGCTGCATTCAACCACTCACTTGTGTGTATGCAGGGTATGATTGCTGCATTCAACCACTCACTTGTGTGTATGCAGGGTATGATTGCTGCATTCAACCACTCACTTGTGTGTATGCAGGGTATGACTGTTACATTCAACCACTCACTTGTGTGTATGCAGTGTATGACTGTTACATTCAACCACTCACTTGTGTGTATGCAGGGTATGACTGTTACATTCAACCACTCACTTGTGTGTATGCAGTGTATGCAGGGTATGATATGACTGCATTTCAACCACTCACTTGTGTGTATGCAGTGTATGACTGTGCTACATTCAACCACTCACTTGTGTGTATGCAGGGTATGATTGCTGCATTCAACCACTCACTTGTGTTCAACCATGCAGTGTATGACTGTTACATTCAACCACTCACTTGTGTGTATGCAGTGTATGACTGTTACATTCAACCACTCATTAAACTCAACCACTGTGTGTATGCAGGGTCATGATTGCTACATTCAACCACTCACCTGTGTGTATGCAGTGTATGACTGTTACATTCAACCACTCACTTGTGTGTATGCAGGGGTATGACTGCATTCAACCACTCACTTGTATGACTGTTACATTCAACCACTCACTTGTGTGTATGCAGGGTATGACTGTTACATTCAACCACTCACTTGTGTGTATGCAGGGGTGCAGGGTATGATTGCTGATTGTGTATGCATTCAACCACTCACTTGTGTGTATGCAGGGTATGATTGCTGCATTCAACCACTCACTTGTGTGTATGCAGTGTATGACTGTTACATTCAACCACTCACTTGTGTGTATGCAGGGTATGATTGCTGCATTCAACCACTCACTTGTGTGTATGCAGGGTATGATTGCTACATTCAACCACTCACTTGTGTGTATGCAGGTGTATGACTGTTACATTCAACCACTCACTTGTGTGTATGCAGGGTATGATTGTTATTCAACCACTCACTTGTGTGTATGCAGGGTATGCTATGATTGTTACATTCAACCACTCACCTGTGGGTATGCAGGGTATGATTGCTGCATTCAACCACTCACTTGTGTGTATGCAGGGTATGATTGCTTACATTCAACCACTCACTGTGGGTATGCAGGGTATTTCAACCACTCACTTGTGTGTATGCAGGGTATGATTGTTGCATTCAACCACTCACTTGTGTGTATGCAGGGTATGATTGTTACATTCAACCACTCACCTGTGTGTATGCAGGGTATGATTGTTGCAGGGTATGATTGCTACATTCAACCACTCACTTGTGTGTATGCAGGGTATGATTGCTGTTACATTCAACCACTCACTTGTGTGTATGCAGTGTGTATGCAGTGTATGATTGCTGCATTCAACCACTCACTTGTGTGTATGCAGGGTATGACTGTTACATTCAACCACTCACCTGTGTGTATGCAGGGTATGATTGCTGCATTCAACCACTCACTTGTGTGTATGCAGTGTATGACTGTTACATTCAACCACTCACCTGTGTGTATGCAGGGTATGATTGCTGCATTCAACCACTCACCTGTTGGTATGCAGGTTATCAGGGCTCGGTTTAGTGCTTTGTTATTTGCACTGATGCTAGCCAATATTCCAAAGTGCAACGTAGTTATTAGTCTAACTTGCACCAGGTGCAGGTCAATTTTTGAGTGGGTGAACTAGGTTTTTATCTCAGGTTGCACCTGGTGCAAGAAGGTTAAAATCTCTTAAATCGAGCCCTGGGTATGATTGTTACATTCAATCTCTCACTTGTGTGTATGCAGGGTATGACTGTTACATTCAACCACTCACCTGTGTGTATGCAGGGTATGATTGCTTACATTCAACCACTCACCTGTGGGTATGCAGGGTATGATTGCTGCATTCAACCACTCACATGTGGGTATGCAGGGTATGACTGTTATTCACATACTCACCTGTGTTTATGCAGGATATGACTGTTTCATTCAACCACTCACCTGTGTGTATGCAGGGGATGATTGTTACATTCAACCACTCACCTGTGGGTATGCAGGGTATGACTGTTATTCAACCACTCACCTGTGTTTATGCAGGATATGACTGTTTCATTCAACCACTCACCTGTGTGTATGCAGGGTATGATTGTTACATTCAACCACTCACCTGTGGGTATGCAGGATATGACTGTTTCATTCAACCACTCACCTGTTGGTATGCAGGGTATGATTGTTACATTCAACCACTCACCTGTGTGTATGCAGGATATGACTGTTTCATTCAACCACTCACCTGTGGGTATGCAGGGTATGATTGTTACATTCAACCACTCACCTGTGGGTATGCAGGATATGACTGTTTCATTCAACCACTCACCTGTGGGTATGCAGGGTATGATTGTTTCATTCAACCACTCACCTGTGCGTATGCAGTGGGTATGCAGGGGATGATTGTTACATTCAACCACTCACCTGTGGGTATGCAGGATATGACTGTTTCATTCAACCACTCACCTGTTGGTATGTAGGGTATGATTGTTACATTCAACCACTCACCTGTGGGTATGCAGGGTATGACTGTTACATTCAACCACTCACCTGTGGGTATGCAGGGTATGACTGCTGCTCCTGGGTTGTTGATGCGGCAGTATGCATGTACTGATAACGAGCCCCCATGGATGCAGCAGAGAGAAGATTCTGTTGCGGCATAGTCGGTCTGAAGGACAAGGGAGCGTCCTGATCTACAGGCTGATCTAGAGTATCCAATGAAACACTTGCACTATCTGTCTCTGTCTGGGGGATGTGACTCACCACTGCTGGTAACACTGATTCATCCACTGCATGCGCAGTTACTGTTCTTGAGGAACTCTCCTGTTTTGGAGACATTTTCACAACACTGTCACTCAAAAGTGGTTTTGGAATTGAAACAGGTTCCTCAATGTCTGGATTTGCTATCACTTGTGAAGAATTCTGTTTAACAGTTTCAGAATCTAATGAGAAAAGTTTGATTTCACAGTTGTTTCATCATCACTATCTGAATCATAGCCCGTTAAACCACTGAAGGCAGTATATCGCTTAGAGAAACCAGACTCATCACCCTCCTCCTCTTCCACCTCCTTTTGCTTGGGCTTTGTAGGTGGAGGTTTTGGTGCTGGCTTCTGTGGCCTCTTGGTGAGGGTGTGTGGGATGAGAATTCGGTTTGCTTCTTTCTTGGCAACATGAATTGGCGCAGGCAACAAGGCAAACAGACCAGCTTTTCCCTGGCAAAGAGGATATGGAAATTACATTTTAGATGTTACACAAATGTTGCATACATACGCTCACCACTGTATCACCACTCACTTCCAGTAAAGTACCATGCTTACTTCAACCCTAACCCAGATTAAACTATGTTGCCTCCAGCTAACATAATGAAGAATCCAAATTCCTCTCTGGTCTAATTGTGGTAATGATACTAGCATGGTTACTTGCCCTCTGAGAAAACATGGCCCACTGCTACCTTGAAAAGGAAGTTAGGTGCATGTCTTATTTATCAACATCACTCTTGGTTTGGGACAACATATGACGTCTGAAATATCACTTGAAACAGGCCCATGGTGGCGGTGTGTGGTCCTGTGCACAGAGCTCAGGTCACAAATCAGTTGAAGTTAAGCAACGTTCTGCGCGGAGAGTTTTTGGGAGACCGTGTGCATCAGCTTGACTCCTGAGAGTTTCTAGGACTACAGTCCTGTCCCACAATGAAGCACATGTGATACATGTGGTCTCACCTTAGGCAAGTGAGTTTGTTCAAAATTGCCTCTGTTCACCTAGCAGAAAATGGGTACCCAGTGAAATAAGTCAAGAGACTATTAACCTTCTAGCTCCTCACAAGCAGCTTGGGTTATACGGGATAATAATGAACAGATTTGTATGCACTTTTAGCATGCACTTGGTGCATGGAATTTAGCACTGTAGAAGTTCATATCATCATCATCGTCATCATCATCATCATCATCATCATCATCATCATCATCATCATCATCATAACTCTAGCTACCTTAGGAAGAAAGCAATATGCACTTCCTGCTTAAAGACAGTGGTGGAAGATGGTATGTCGTAGTCGAAGTCAAAAGCAGTCTAAAACCAAAACCCTTGTACATGATATTTAGCATATACTTAAAGACATCCTGACCATGATTCCCTTCAAACACTTCACAGACATGTTCTGTTTGCCTGACTGACTGACTGAGTTTGGTTTGTTTTATAATATTCCAGCAACATCAGAAATGGGCTTCACACATTGTGCCCATGTGGGATTTGAACCTGGGTCTTGTTCAACGCTTTAACCATTAGGCTACCCCACCGCCCCTGTTCTGTTTGCATCACATATGTATTAGTATAGCCTCCAGAGACTCAGTGGTCAGAGGGGTTGTTCAATATATACTTAGATGTTTCAGATTGACAACATATTCATGACATTCTTGTGACAATATGAACGTGTCCAGGCATCTGCAGTGTCTATCTTCATTTACATGATTAATAGCTTGTCATCTTCAGGTGAAAGTCTGTGTACATTTCTTTACATGATCTGGTAATATGGGCACCTTCACAACACCTCTTTCTCACCTTTGTGTTAGTGGTTTTTGCTTTCTTTGGAACCGGTTCCTCTTCATCTGAATCCTGAAGAAATGAAACACTGTAGTAAGGAATATGATCATTGTACAAGTAAGGGACATAACTCTGAACAGTGGATCAGGAAGTTTGTCAGGATCAATACACATACTTCATTGCAGTACAATACTTGATACACTGTAGATGATAAGTGCCTGTAAAACCTGGATCACTGGTTTCTAGTGATGATTTTGAGGGCATGTGTTGCATTAACTGAAAAGATAGGAACAACTTCTAATCGGGAGATGAACACTACTGTCGTTTAGATTTTCTGGCTGAGTATTTGATGTCTTGGTAAATTATTTGGAACATAAAAAAATAACTCTGCACATGGAATAAGTAGCCATGCTAACTGTGGAACAGTCACCATGGTAACGCCAGTGTACACTGTACACGCTGTACTTACATGATCAAGTTTAGGGATGCTGATTTTGACAGGCATCTTGGCTTTCTTGCCTGGAGGTTTGGGAGCATCAGCTATCTGGGTACTTTTCGGTTTGACCTCTTCCTCAAGTTCATCTTCTTGTACTTCGTCCTGTCCCCCAGCCTTCGGTGCAGGCAAACCTGTCAACGTACATCAGTCAGCTTATTGTATCTGTTTGTTAACTTCATTATTAACAATGTATAGGAGGGCTAGTCAGGGTACTCACATATGGTTTGTCCATTATTTTCAGGGGCCAGCATGGGCCAAATTACTAGGGCAAATCTTAAGTATCAAAGGCTTGTTACAGGAAGATATATATGCCTTGTAAATGTTTCATTGAGAGAACGTGAAATGGGCAAGAATAAAAAGGATTTTTTGTCTAATACTGCATTGTCACAAACATTTGCTACCATCCACATACTCAAGGTTTTTGATAGTTTCATAAACTTTGGTCATACTTTTATTGACATCTCATAAAACAATATTTCACTGATCATTTTCAAATGATGGGCCTTTTTCAACAAAGGTACCTTCATTTCGTACCCAGAGAACATGTGATTATATAAATTTATACCTACATGCACCAGGCTGTTTACCTATACACAATATACAGATTTTCCCTTCAGTGGCAATGGTTCCTGTGTGGGTAGTAACAGTAATCTACAGGACGTCTATGCAATAATGGCTTACCACAAACTACATGCTTACAGGCCTGTATATGGAAGTGTGCCCTATTAGTTGTTCAGAACCACCAGAATACCATAAGCTTCACCACAGCTATGCACATTGTCCCTGCCAGAACATCTAACGTCTAACTAACTTCAATGATAACGTTTGCACGTATAGATACTAATACCATCTCAACAAGAGGTCCTTGGTGATGGACATCGTCTAAATCCTTACCAGTGCTTACGGCTACAGATGGGTTGTCACTAAGTTTCGACTAACGTTTTGTTATAGGTCTAGGGATGTGATAAGCGTCACTGCTCATGTCTGTAACATCAGTACAAGCAGGTACCTTTCAGCAAGCTTGTAACTTGGTCGTCCGTGTCGACTACCCCAGCTGTTGCTACAGACTGTACTTGACCTGATGTATTAGCTGGGACGTAGTCGTCTTCGTCGCTGATATTGTCGTTGGCTGGTGAGACAGACTTGTCATTTTTCACGTCGTTCATTTGGATATGATCTTCTGCATCGCTGCCACCACTTTCATCACTGGAATTGTATGCAACAAGCGACATTATTGTGATTTATTTGTCGCGAAAAAGTGTCAAACCGCTTGTCAAAGGGACGCAACTCTAATAGCAGCATTTTCTTTTCTTCCTCACTAAAGAAGAGTCAGTTTGTGTGTGAAAGTAGTTGAAGCTGCAGTAAAATATCCATTAGCTGCTAGTGGACAGCTTTGGTCAGAACTTCAAAGGAAAGGAAAGCCAAATGCAACATCGGTTTTCTGCCACTTTGCTGAATCACGATATAGGAGTGACCAGGGATCTCGGATTCGATCAAACTACACACGAACTGTGCACGGGTATGGTGCACAGAGAATGTCACCAAAACGCATCCGATCCACGCACGCTGACGTACTGTGGTTACCGCCAACTTCAGCTGAAATCAACTGCAACAAGTCTACAACCATTGTATGTCATATGAACATAATTGCCGGGTTGTGATATATTAATATTTTTCGCTGTACATGCATAAATGAATGAATGAATGAGTGAGTTTAGTTTACGCCGCACTCAGCAATATTCCTGCTATATGGCGGCAGTGTGTAAATAATCGAGTCTGGACCAGACAATCCAGTGATCAACAGCATGAGCATCGATCAGCGCAACTGGGAACCGATGACATGTGTCAACCAAGTCAGCGAGCCTGACCACCCGATCCCGTTAGTCGCCTCTTACGACAAGCATGGGTTACTGAAGGCACATTCTAACCCGGACCTTCACGGGTTAATGAATGAATGATATAATCCCGTTTCTTAATGGCTGAGATAGTGCAGGGTTCCACTTAATTCACTGGCCATCAATACATGTTATCAGTGTGGCTACTCCGGGGTTGGTGTCTCCTTAATACATCCTCAGCGGACAGTGGTTGTGCGGGTTGTGCAGGTTGTGCGGGTTGTGCATGAAGTGCATTATGATAACCCGAGTTTAGCCAGACACTGCAGTGTAATATTATCGGTCGTTATCACTAGAATGATCTGAGACGTATTCGCGAATTTGTTGATTCCGTTTCCTAGAAACACCCAAAATGTACACGGTTCCACTTTGCGAAAACTAGTCCGTTTGTGCATATGTTTTGTAGGAGTTCGAATCAAATGTATAAAGTAATTCGTTCTACAAAAGCACAAAAACGCGTGAGTATTCCGTTTGCGTCAACAAAGAAAGATAACTCTTTTTGCCCTATCGCTGTTGCTTTAAATACACACGCCTGATACGCGAAGTAGGAAATTGTTCTTTAATTGAACATGCATTAGTGTACCTTATAGTGACAAATGTGATAACTCGATTGATTTAAAGAAATCGTTTTTCAATTATTTTTTTTATAAACCCGAATGAAGGGTTCGAATCCTGTCAAGAATTGATAAGCATGTCGTAGTGAGTGCGTGAGAGGTTTAACCCCGTATTTAACAGTATTCCTGTGATATCATGGCGAATACCCGAAGTGATGCCGGTCTCAAACGTTTACCACTTTGGTGAGACCCACGATTATTGGTGTCTGGCACGCCTAGGGACTGGGCCCCCTGCCCCACTCCTGAACGCGCAATTATACTCCTGTTTCCGGCTCAGACAACGAATTGCAAAGTGTAATATTCACAACCCGGCATGGAAACGATTATTCATGATGACACTGAAATGTAATATACGACGGGAAATAATAAAATATAATATGTGTATTCACGACCAGTATTTGGGTATCTATCGCTTGAAATCTTCAGTCAAACACCTACGGAAATATGTCGGGTTGTTCTCCGCAGGCTGTCATCCTGTAAGTGCACATGAGTGTGTCCCCGGACTAGCCATACAGTCATACCCAGGGCATAGCATCTCTATTCCTCCTAAAGCTTATGAAGGTGGCTCAGCAGACACCCAGAGAGAGGAATGTGCGGGTTCGGATTCCCTGCATAGCATCTCTATTCCACCTAAAGCTTATGAAGGTGGCTCAGCAGACACCCAGAGAGAGGAATGTCCGGGTTCGGATCCCTGCATAGCATCTCTATTCCTCCTAAAGCTTATGAAGGTGGCTCAGCAGACACCCAGAGAGAGGAATGTCCGGGTTCGGATCCCTGCATAGCATCTCTATTCCACCTAAAGCTTATGAAGGTGGCTCAGCAGACACCCAGAGAGAGAATGTCCGGGTTCGGATCCCTACATAGCATCTCTATTCCTCCTAAAGCTTATGAAGGTGGCTCAGCAGACACCCAGAGAGGAATGTCCGGGTTCGGATCCCTGCATAGCATCTCTATTCCTCCTAAAGCTTATGAAGGTGGCTCAGCAGACACCCAGAGAGAGGAATGTCCGGGTTCGGATCCCTGCATAGCATCTCTATTCCTCCTAAAGCTTATGAAGGTGGCTCAGCAGACACCCAGAGAGAGGAATGTCCGGGTTCGGATCCCTGCATAGCATCTCTATTCCTCCTAAAGCTTATGAAGGTGGCTCAGCAGACACCCAGAGAGAGGAATGTCCGGGTTCGGATCCCTGCATAGCATCTCTATTCCTCCTAAAGCTTATGAAGGTGGCTCAGCAGACACCCAGAGAGGAATGTCGGGTTCGGATCCCTGCATAGCATCTCTATTCCTCCTAAAGCTTATGAAGGTGGCTCTGCAGACACCCAGAGAGGAATGTCCGGGTTCGGATCCCTGCATAGCATCTCTATTCCTCCTAAAGCTTATGAAGGTGGCTCAGCAGACACCCAGAGAGAGAATGTCCGGGTTCGGATCCCTGCATAGCATCTCTATTCCTCCTAAAGCTTATGAAGGTGGCTCAGCAGACACCCAGAGAGGAATGTCCGGGTTCGGATCCCTGCATAGCATCTCTATTCCTCCTAAAGCTTATGAAGGTGGCTCAGCAGACACCCAGAGAGAGGAATGTCCGGGTTCGGATCCCTGCATAGCATCTCTATTCCTCCTAAAGCTTATGAAGGTGGCTCAGCAGACACCCAGAGAGAGGAATGTCCGGGTTCGGATCCCTGCATAGCATCTCTATTCCTCCTAAAGCTTATGAAGGTGGCTCTGCAGACACCCAGAGAGAGAATGTCGGGTTCGGATCCCTGCATAGCATCTCTATTCCTCCTAAAGCTTATGAAGGTGGCTCAGCAGACACCCAGAGAGAGGAATGTCCGGGTTCGGATCCCTGCATAGCATCTCTATTCCACCTAAAGCTTATGAAGGTGGCTCAGCAGACACCCAGAGAGAGGAATGTCCGGGCTCGGATCCCTGTTCTGGCCGTGTCGTACCAAAACACGTTAAAAGGGGATACATGTCCTTATCCTGCCAGTTAACATTATTGTGATATAACAAGGCTTGGTCGGCTCGGAGTCGGTATTGTGTCTGAATATGGTATCCATGGTAACTGTGGTATGGTATCTCAGCAAGCAAGTACCATATAACAGGCATTAGTCTGGACTAGTCAATACACATATAAACACGGAGGCAGACGCTCGCGGGCACACACGCACGCACGCACACTCACTCACACAAACATGAATACATTTATTTCGCTATTTCACTCGTATCAAGCACCAATTCCCCCACACTCGCTTGTTTTCCCAGAACCAACAACACTCGATATGTGGCAATACCTATGCATCTTTTGACTGAATATCTGATTCTTTGTGAACAACTCCAACGATAATATACTGAAGTAACTGACAGTTACCGATGCCACAACTGTGCGAGATTCCAAACACTTATAGAATCCCGTAGAGAAGTGAGGTCATCCCCATGATACTGCCAATCTGCAATATGTCAGCCAGAGAGGTCTAACCAAATTATTACATACATGCCACACCGCTCTCTCTCATACACTCCCGGCTGACACATAGCACACATTCCTGGTGTTTTCTTCAAATGTGTATAAATGTTGAGTGTTGCTGCTTATTAAAATGAACGTGTACTCGGTTCCCAGACACGACTGTGAAGTGACCCGCCGGATACATTCCCACGACAGCTGGCTAACTGCAATCCTCTTGAAAATTACTTTCGTGATCTTTCAGCAGATCGAAAATTAAGTGTTGGCTAAAAGAGGCGAGGTGTCGCATTTTTTCACGAAATTTATTTTTTTCTCCCCGATTTGACATTACGAATTACATCCTTTCAGTTATTTTGTGAAATAATGGATATACGATGTTCGTGTCTGCATAATTAGTAACATGTGAAGACAAGGTTAAATAAGCTTCCTTGAAATCCAATTAACATTTGTACCAGGCCATATCGCTCAAGTTGTTCCTTTAATACGTTTATATATTAATGTTCTACTCATTAATATACATGTACGCTCAACACAGTTTAAACTCCGTTCCTGTCAGTTTCAAAAAGTACTCATTAATATACGCTCAACACAGTTTAAACTCCGTTCCTGTCAGTTTCAAAAAAGAGGTTAATTTTCTGAAAATATATTCAAAAGGCATTTGAACACAAAGCATGGAAAGGTCGTGACGTTACCATGGAGATATTCAGCTTTTATTTTAATGTATTGCACGTTCCTGCATGAATTTATCAGTATACGGATTACATTCCATTTGATGATATCTTCTTGACAGCTAACATACACTCCGCTTATTGATAAACCGCCTTGAACAGTCAACGCAAGTAATTATGTAATAGATAGCAACGCAGGTTCTAAAAATTCTGTTATTTGATATCTAGCAACATTTATCTCCCGATCCCCGAAATGTTCCTCGACACTTCGTCAATTTTATTGCCATCAGCACCTTTAATTTATCGCACTGAAGTTGTAAAACCGGAGTTAGTCATGTCCCCCTTGTACGGACTGATTGTCGTAAAACTCCACTAAACAGGGGATCGGGGGATTGCAAGTGATTAATCAGCACTGATATATAAAGCCCATTTTAATATTCTGTTGGGAGGGGGTAGGGGTTCGAAGTTGTTAGGGGAAGGGGATTCTACAGGGGACAATGCCTTATTGTCGCCCTCACTTTAATAAACTCCAACATTAACAAAAGGTAAATCTGGCATCGTCATGGCTTAAATTTTATGTTTCTGATTAATTCACTATTTATTTCTTTTCGCAAGGTTGTCTACGTCACAACAATCCAACAAGGTGACAGTGTCTT